CTTTTGGGAGAAGGAGGCAACCAAGTTGGGCTTCAAAATACGAAGGGTTTGTGCTTTGCAGGGAGAGGGAACAGCATGTATGGAGTCGTGGTGGTTGGGATTTACCCAGAATGTCCCCTATACTTCATCACTCGTGTTTGATTTTAGTTGGGTTTATGTTATATACTCACACACATATGCATGTGTATGTAGATATATATGGATGTAGATATCTACATATATGTATGTATTTGTATATATCATAGCCATGTATATTTTGTTTCTATGTGCATATATGTATATACATATATATGCACATGCATATATATATATTTTCAACATTGACTTCCATTCAGCATTTCATTCAGCAGATGTATACACCTAATGTGTGCCAGACAGTATTCTAGGTGCTCAGGATGTGGAGGTTGAAGAGAACAAAAGCAGTGAAAAGAGGCCTGTTCGTGGACCTTCTGTTCTGTGATGGAGACCACCAATAAATAAATTAACATTGAAATGTGGGATGTGATTTCAGGTAATGCTAAGCCATAAGATAGGGCTTAGCCAGGGGTGCTATTTTAGACAGGGCGCCTGGGAAGGCTCCCTTGGGAGGTGACACTTAGGCGCAGTGGAGGGGACCTTGGGAACAGTTCCAGGCAGGGGAACAGCTTTAGGAAAGACCTCAGGCATGAGCATGTGGAACTGCCTGGCACTTAGCTTCCACCTTGCCCCGTGGTTCTCTCTGTCCCTGTGAACCCACCTTGTCGCCCTGCAGGCTCTCTGAGGCCACATGGCCAGAGTCCAGTGCCCTCTGCCTGCCCTTGGCCACAGAGGAGGGCAGCCGCAGGTGGTGGGTGGCAGCCTCCATGCCTTGCGCTCCCAGGCAGTGGCATCTCAGGGCAAGAGCAGCCCGTTCTGTCCAGACACCTCACCTCCCCGCTGTTCTTGGCACTAAGAGATTTGTTTTCACTTAGAGAGAGCCTGGCCTCATCCATAACATCACTGTTGTTCTCAGGAAGCTGGCCCTGTCCCAAGAGGAGGAATGTGGGGCAGCGACATGGCGGTGAGCAATTTCGCTAATAAGGAAGTGTGCTGGGATTCCAAAGAAGGAGCGATGACTCACAGGAAGGTGCACAACAGGTTCCCTGGCTACTCATCTGCATTCATTCATCCTCTCGTTCCTCAAACACCTATTGAGCATGTAGACGGGAAGCTAGAGGCTCCAGTTCAGCTCTGCCACCTGCTAGCTGTGTAACCTCAGCAGGTCATTGAACCTCTCTGAGCCTTTGTTTCTTTCATTGTAAAATGGGTATAATGTCTGTTTTCCAGAGTTGTGAGGATTAGATGGGAAGAATCCCTGGAGACAGGATGGCTAGAAGTAGTAAATAAAGATAAATCCAAATGTCATATAAACGAGGAATGCTTTTTCTTTTTTCAGTATAAATATGTCCCACGTATTGCATGTTTATCTGACATTCGATTTTAGCTGTGCATCTTGTATTCTAACTGGCAACCCTACCCAGGCATCAAGATGAATTTTACGAAATGCCTGACTTCGAGGAGCACATGCTAGAACAAACATGAACAACATACATAATTGCATCAAAGGGTGATTTGACTCACGGCAGAGGCATAGACAGAGTGTTGTAGAAACGTAGACATCTCTGTTTGGGCTCTTAAGAAAAAATCCAGACTCACTCTTGCTGATTCCTGGCAGGCTTGTGAAACTGGCTGTGGGATTGACAGTGTGAGAGCATAAATCGCTAGCGATTCATTGGATGGTCTGTTCCAGTTTGCTTTTCCGTTGAGTAATCTGGGAGGATGAAGTCTGTTTTCTTCCTTCTCCAGGCAAAGGGTGACTTTTGTTGAACAGGAAACAGATAATGCGTTACTCTTACTCATTTGCTTATTACTCTTACCCATGTAGGCCATTCAAAAAAATAAAATGAAACGAATTTAGGGGGAAAAATCACATTGTTCCTTGACTTTGTGGAATGTGCATTTCTCAGATAAAATGATAAGAGTTCATTTATTCTGCTTCCCTGGAGGCCCAGGAGCAAATTTGCCACTCCCAGGGATCTAATAGGAGAAACACAATTGGAGTTTCTGGCTCCAAACTGAACATTTCCCAGAGCCTTTCTTTGGGTAAAGCTCCAAGCATCAACGTGCTGGGAGAATAGGTTGGGAACATTCTTTAAAAGGTGACATCCGCCAGGCATGTTCTTGTCTTCTCTTGCAGATGAATGGCCTGGTGTTGACCATGGTCCCATGGGCATTACTGAAGTGTCCCTTTGCTCTCCCAGATGCAGCAAAGGAATATTTTAGATCTAGAGGGTTGTTTTAAAACCCTGAAAGCCTGAAGACTGTTCTGGAGTCCTTTCCGTTGCTTTTAGCCACCTTTTAAACCAAACCCCCCGTCAGGGTTGAATTTTCCACTGCGCCACAGTGATGGATGGGCAGGAGTCCGCGGTAGGGCTCGTGCTAATAGGATTGGAAAGGAGACAAAATAGGGCTGGGGCCTGAGGGGGAGGGGGGCAGGGGCTTCACAAGGTTATTGAGGCATTTGTTTAACAGGATTTGCAGCAAATTCTAATTGTTAGTAAGTGCCGGGCACCGTGCCAAGGTGCTTTCCCACAGTGTCTCTCTGATCCTCACCCTTTCCTCATGCTGAAGGTGCCCGGGTGTCCTGCTGCAGACTGTAGACCCAGAGTGTTTGTGTTGCTTGCCGAGGCCACGTGGCTGATGAGTAGCCCTAGCCCGTCTGATTGCAAAGCCCTTGAGCTTGCCACTGTGTCCTACTGCACTTCGCCTCCCGAAGGCCTGTCCCCGTTTGCTACAGGTATTTCTGCTCTTTCTGCTCACTGTGGTGGGCAGAGGATTGGCCCGGCTTCTAATACCCTGCTGTGATTTGAATGTCTCCCAAAGTTCATGTGTTGGACGCTTAATCCACAATGCAGCAGTATTGAGGGGTGGGACCGTTACTGGGTGATTAGGTCGTGAGGGCTCTGCCCTGCCAAATAGATTAATTCCTGATAAAAAAGGAAGAGTGCAGCCCCTTCCCTTACTCACGTGTGCTCTCTCTTGCCACGTTATGACGCAGCAAGAAAGCCCTCAACAGATGAAGCCGTGTGATCTTGGACTGCCCAGTCTCTAGAATCATAAGCTAAATAAATTCCTGTTCGTGATAAATTACCGAGTCTCACATATTCTGTCACAGCAACACAAAGTAGACTAAGACACGCCCTCTCCCAATCTGTATCCATTTGTGTGTGACGTGAGGAAAGTTGTGGGACCTCTCTAAGGCATCAGTCTCAGTAAAATGATGGCTGAGTTAGCAGAAGTCCTTTTCTGATCTGAAACCTTGTGTGTCCTACCAGTGGCAAGCCGTTTTGTTTCATTATCTCACTTCTTTATTAATTGATTAATTAATTCATTCAATAAATACCTACTTCATGCCAAGTATGTACAGTGGTGACTAAGCAAATGCTTCCTGCCCTTGCAGAGCTTGGAGTCCTGGGGAGAGACAGCCCAGGAAACAGGCTTTTTTTGAGACAGAGTCTCACTCTGTTGCCCAGGCTAGAGTGCCGTGACATGAGCCTCACTCACAGCAACCCCAAACTCCTGGGCTCAAGCAATCCTTCTGCTTCAGCCTCTCAAGTAGCTGGGACTATAGGCATGCACCACCATGCCCGGCTAATTTTTTCTATATATTTTTAGTTGGCCAATTAATTCCCTTCTGTTTTTAGTAGAGACAGGGTCTCACTCTTGCTCAGGCTGGTTTCAAACTCCTGACCTTGAGTGATCCTCCCACCTCAGCCTCCCAGAGTGCTAGGATTACAGGCGTGAGCCACCACGCCCGGCCAAACAGGCTCCTATGATGGGCGAAAGAGGCTATTTGGTGGCAGATGCAGAGCACCGTGGGACACCCCGTCTAGGGCTTGGTGGGGTCAGGCGAGGCTCTGGTAAAGGGAGGGACACCCAAGGTAAGAGCTGACGGGTGTTCAGTTTTCCAGGCATAGAGGGAACAATTTGTGCAAAGGGAGGGCAGGCACGGAACACTTGGGGAATTGGGAGCTATGCCAACTGTCTGGACAGAGGATGGAGTACAGTGGGAAGGGGATGGTCTGGAGGGAGAAAAGGATGCTGAAAAAGACAGGGACCACACTGTGCAGGCCCTCAGAGGCCCCTGGGAGGAGATCGGTGTCTGTTCTCAGGGCCATGGGCACACATTGAAGGGCAGGGCTGCCCTGGATGGTTACCCAGGTTGTGTCCTGCACAAGAATGAGCAACTAAGGTAGGCCCCTCTGCACACCAAGCCACGGGCCCCAGTGCAGGGCCTGGGTCTGCCTGGAGAACCCAGCACCTTTTTCTAATTCTTATCAAGGAGCCTTAAAGGCTAGTGCTGTCTTTGATGTCAGGAGAATGATATGATCAGATTTGTGTTTTTGAGCTTTTTCTCTGGCTGCAGGAGCATCCATCATCATTCGTTGGATGATGGAGAATGGGGAGGGGGCAGAGGAGAGATGGGGGGTGCCTAGGGAGGCCGTGGGAATGGAGAGAAAGAATGAATGTGAGTACTGAAATGTCCAGTGGCCTGCATGAGTTGCCCAGATCTCATTACATCCTGTGAGTTAGTGAGGTGGGAATATTCTTTCAGAAGCAGAAATACTAAATGACGGAGGAACACAACTAAGAGGATAAGTGTTTTGCCCCCAGGCTGCAGAGAGAGCAAAGTTGGGTTTGGTCGCCAGCTTCCCAACTTGGCTCAGACGTTTGATTCAGCTGCAGGAGGCGATGGTTATGTGGCTTAGTGGCCACACTCAAGGCCAGGAGTCAGGAGACCCAGGGATTTAGCTCATTGTAGGCTGCTCTTCTGAGGTTCTGAACAGCATGGCCTTACCTCTCTTCCATGACATTTGATCTCAAACATTTATGGAGCGCCTGCTAAGTACCTGGCTCTGCACCCAGCGTGGATGGGGGAGTACAGAACCGTGTGACACAGTCGGGGCCCTTAAGGAACTCACCAATGGTGCAGTAATGAGTTGATAGTGACCATCAAAGACCGCCTGAGGTGTGCTCCAGGAATGTTCGAGATTATCACCTGTGTAGGGAAGCATCAGACAGTGACATGGCAGCTGGTGTCAGACAGAACTGTGCTCAACGTCTGGTTTTGAAAGCATTTCCTATCCGTGATCCTGGGCCAATCACATAACCTCTCTGAGCCTCAGTCTGCCCTTCTGTAACACGGGATGGTAATACCTAAGTGGTTTACTTTCAGGATTGCATAATTCAAGGCATATAAAATGATTGGCATGGTTTATACTTTGGTAGACCAATTTTATACTTTGGTAACCATTTTTAATATTGTTTAGGATAGGCCAATTTTTTTTGGCATCTTTGTTGTATAGTTCTAAGAAAGTTTTAACAAATGATAGAGCCATGTAACCAACACCACAAACAAGATACAGAATAGTTCCACTTCCTCTCCCAAATTCCTATGTCCAACCCCTTTGAGAGTTAAGCCTTCTCATACTCTTTTTTCCTTGTGATAAATTATTATCTCTTAGCTTTGCAATAGCTTTCTCAAGATATAATTCAGATACTGTACAATTCACCTATTTAAGGTGTGTAATTCAATAGTTTTTGGGATATTCAAACATTACCACAGTCAGTCTTGGGACACTTTGATCAGCCCCAAAAGAAACCCCTGTATCCTTGAGCAGTCACTCTCCATTCCCTTTATCTACCCCCTCCTTGCCTGCTCCTGGTATGAAGTGGTGTCTCCCTGTACAAACCCTTAACCCCTGGCAATTCGCTGATACATTTCCCGGCCCTATAGTTTTGCTTTTCCTAGGATGTGATAGCTATAATCATACATTATGTAGCTTTTTGACTCTACCATCTTCCACCTAGCATTATGCACTTGAGATTCATCTGAGTTATTGCATTCCTTTTTGTTGCTAAGTAGCAGCATTCCATTGCATGGATGCACCACCCTACGTGTGCCTGTTCTTATGGGCAGTTAATTTTGAGGGGTCTCTTGCCCAAATGAATCAGGCAGGGACCAAATCCTCTCTCCTTGCCAGAGGCTTTTATAGTTTCAGAGACCTTGCCCGTGCCTCCCCAGGCTGCCAGCTCTGCAGGAGACCCAGCCCGTTCCTCTTTCGGGTCCCTCTGAGCTGCAGAGCTAGTCTGCCATCTGTGATCTGGAGCCCCTGTGGAGCAGAGACCCACCTGGGATTAGCGTTTCTCTGCGTCATGGCTCTGGCATGCCATTTGTGGGAAGCGGTGTGTGTGGGCTGCAGCCCAGTGAGGCAGGTGGGGCCTGGGCCACTCAGGACAGCTGGTGCTTGGGAGTCCTGGTCCTCCACTGTCCAGCTGTCTCCCTTCTCATCAGGGAGCCCCCAGACGCTCCTTGGGCTGATAAACAAAGCCATTTTCTTGTTCCCTTATCTGTTTTCATCTTTTCATGGCAGACTTGCAACTTGGGGCTTTGAGCACCGCCAGCCGCACCCCCACCCTGCAATGCTATAGTTTTCCAACTTTCTGTTACAGGGCTGGGGGGATACAATGTAATGATATAAAATAATAATGATTTGCACCTATCAGGTTCATTATAGACATCCGAAGCTGTGAAATAGGCATAATAACTTTATGCAAGAAGAAGTCAAGGTCCCAGGTGGTTAAGTAATTCATTCAAGGTTACGTTGTTGGTTAGCAGCAGGGTTGGGCTTTGAACCCACCAGTGTGGGTTCAAAGCCACCATCTGCCACCAGGGTGCCCTAAACCTCAGTTATTTGTGTAGCACCTTTATGCGTTCCTTCTACCACTTGTGCTATTATTTAATCTAACTTTTAAAAATAAAATTGACTTCAAATTCACGTTAGTTTATTCTGCAAAGACATGTTCTATGCAAAAAAGCCCATGGCACAGAGGGTTTGATGGGCTAGTTTTATTTTTTGTAATACACATTAAATAAACCCATAACTCAAAATATAAATGTTCATCCACGTGCCACCTAAGACCAGCTCGCGTCCACCAGTGGTAGGTGGACCACGCTTGGGGGCGGGCATTGGCGCGGCATTCAGGGATTTATTTATGGGCCTGTCTTTTTCCCTCGGTAGGGAATTGCAAGCGCGTCTGTGTTTTATTTATCTTGGTATCCTCAGCACCGTGGACCGTGACAGACTTTACTACAGGCCCTTGTTGAATGACGAAGGAAGAGGTGACAGAATGCACGGAATAGCAGAGGGGGAGGGGAGCGTTGAGTAGCGCTGCCCCTTCTTTGTGGAGAAGGTCGGAAGGAAGCCCATTTCCCTGAGCGGCACAGGGGACCAGAGTGCTCAGGAGCCACGAGGGCTGTGGCCAGCGTGATGTCAGGAGGCCGACATTCCCTGCGTGAAGCCCTCTGGCTGTCTCAGGCTCTTGGATGCTGCCGTGTTATCACACCCCTTCCTGCCCCTTTGACCCCTAATGTGGGAAAATCAGCCTGCATCTGGTGGTTTCTTTAGTCAAAAGGGTTTCTACCCTGGGTGCCACTTGCTGCCTTCTTCTTCCTTTAGTTCTCTCATAAAGCCCCCAGCACTCTAGACAAATTCCGCACCATCTTTTCTAGAAGCAAACGCAGCAGCGACATCTCAGCAGGAGTTGAGATCACAGAGCTGTGTTTAGTATGTGGACAAGTCAGATCTGTCAGTGATCCAATCAGCATTTATTGAGGACCTACTACGCGCCAAAGGACTGGGCTGACGCCACTGGATTCTCCCATGCATCAGATTCAGACCATCTGGGCATAGGCACTTAAGCTAGAACTTGACTTTTGAGTTAAAAAGGGGAAAAAAAAGTCAGCTCAACAAATATTGATTGAAGGCCAGCTGTATGCAGGGCTTGGAACTCAGTCTTGAGAATACAAAATTAAGTTTCTGCAGAAAAAAGAAGCAAGGGGTCACAGAAGGTAAACTCTTACTTCTGTTATTGGGTAAGAGCCTGGCTATTCTTGTGGGCCCTTTTCTTTCTTAGGTAAAAAAAAAAAAATTAAGTTTCTGCCCTCAAGGAACTCAGAGGACCCTGAGGAATCATATTGAATTGCGACTTGGGAAGTTGCATGTACATGGGGCAGCATCCTGAGCTGTCGCTGTGCGGGTTCCCTTAGGCAGCCAGCATATTACGGGCACATTCAGCAGGCAAATGACATTCGTGAATTTAGCCAACATTTCTGGGGCATCTTTTGCAAGAATGGCAAACATGTGGCACAGGTGTGCTTCCATTTCTTCCAACTGCTCCGCGGTGGGTGTACCGGAGGCGGCCTCAGCGCCCTTCTCTACCCCGTGCCCCGGGCATTCAGTTGGTATTTAAAGTGACACCCATTTACTGTCCCCGGCTCTGTTACTTGAAATGCACTAGAGCCAAAATGTCTTTTCTTTCATGAAATGATGGTGCTCAGAGCGTGCGTGGCACCACGCCTGCTCGTGGCATCCAACTCTGGGGGTGCCGTTCACTCAGGCTGCTGTGTGCTCTGCAGTCTCCGGTCTCTCCGTGAGGCCCTGATGGGATAGGAGATGGTAGTGGATGTCTCTGGGCCTTTGAAGTCCTTACTTGGCAAAATAACATAGTTGGTTGGCACCCACGCTCTTGATCCCTTACAACTATCAAAAAAATTACATATCTGTGAAATCCCTTCCTTCCTTGCTTTCTTCTCCTACTTCCTTTCCCTCCTTCTCTCCCTCTTTCCCCCCCTTTCCTCCCTTGCCTCTGTCCCTCTGTCCTTCTCTCTCTTCCTCCTGCAAATACTAAACTGCCTACAATGAGCCAGACACTATTCTGTGATACAGCAGTTAATAGCACAGACAAAGCCGCCTGCCCTCAATGTAGCCCACATTCTAGTTGGGGAGGGAGAGACAGAAATAAATAAAATCCTTAATATAAAATATATAATATGTCAGGTGGGGATAAGTACTACAGAGAAAAATAAAGCAGGGAATGAGGATATGTGCGTTGGGAGATGGTGATTTTAGCAGAGGTAGCAGGGGACAGCCTCATTGAGGGAGTGACATTGTAATAGACCTTCCAAGAACTTAGGGGATGAGCTGCACAGAACTGGAGAAAGGCCGTCTAGGCAGCAGGGACGGTATGTGCAAAGGCCCTGAGGCAGGAATGTGCCTGGCATATTTGGAGAATAGTGAGAAGTCTGGCTGGAGTGGGTTGAGGAGGGAAAGTGTAGGAAATGGGTTCAGGCAGGTAATAGGGGGTGGGGTCCAGATCTTGGAAGGGTTTAGGATTCCTGTCCCAAATAATGATTCTCAAAAATGTGATCCCTAAACTACCCTAGACCCACTGAATCAGAAACTCTGGGGGTGGGGTCCACATCTGTTTAAGGAGCCCTCCCTCGGGATTCTGATCCCGCTAAAATGTGGGAGCCATCGCTCTGCAACATCCAGGCCGTGCCTGGAACTCCCTGCAGAGTCTGCCGTCCCCTCCTGTGTCCCTGGCAGGCTGTGTGCAGCAGCAGGTGTGGCCCAGGGCAGAAGGGGCATCCTTGTTGACCTGCCCACCTGATCCCAAGAAATGCCGTCATCGCAGCGTCTGGAAGTTGACATTTGGACTAAGAGTCAGCTGCTGTGCCTGTGCTCCAGCCGAGGTCGGGTGACCGCGAGGGCGAAAGGTAGAGGCAGGGAGGCGGGGCCGATGCTCGAGAGATGGGGCCATTCACTGTCAGGGTGGAGAGACCCTAGGACATTGGTCCAGGCCTCTCATTTGACAGAGGAGAAGGCATTTCCCCTGGAAAGGGGAAATGACTGCTCATTATGTTGGCGTGTGCTGGCTCCAAGTGGAGCGGAACCCGGGTGGCAGGGATTACAGCCGCCTCTTATGTGACGTCATATTAAAACAAAAGGTCCTGGAGATGGGCCCTGCAGCCCGTCACCAGGCAGACCTGGGGGTCACTTGTGACTTTGTTTTTGTCCTTGAGGACTTTCTGCTGAGTCACAGAGTCAGTAGCTTGTGAGTCACCAAAGGATGGCTCTCAGGTATTGACCCCTTCTTATGTGCTGGGCACTGTGTGGAGCTTATTTCTAATCTTGTCAGCTAGGGTGATGTCACTCCCATTCTACAGACACGAAAGCTAAAGCTCAGAAGTTTTAAGTAACTTGCTCCAAATTGGGATTTGACCCCACCTCAGTGTGAACCAAAGCAGGGGATCTTTCCACTTCTCTCTGCCACTTTTTGTTGTCATCTGCCAGCCTGTGGTTTGGGCACCAGTTTGGCAATGGGGTTTTTGCCAATTTTCCCTCTTCCCTTTCTTTATCTTCCCTCCCTCCACGCTCTTTTTCTTCTATCATTCCTTCCTTCTTTTCTTCCTACCTCAAAACTTTATCAGGTACCTACCATTGATGTGCCAGACTTATTCTGGGTTGTGAGAATCCAGTGATTAGAGATGGTCCCTTCTCTCAAAGAGCCCCCAGGCTGGTTAGAGAACACAATCACATATCTAGACAGTTGTCACACTGTTTGGTCACCACTGTAATCAGGGTCTGAACAAAGTGCAATGGGAATGAAGGTGACAAAAGTCTTCTTAGAAGAGGTGATAGCCAAGTTGGGCTTTGCAGGATGAGTAGGAGTCCATCAGAAAAAGATTGGAGGTGATTGGAGAAAGGTGAGGAGAAGAAACAGCTCATCAGGGACTCAAGGGATTAGGATATAGACCATTTGGGGGGCAGCAAGAGTTTTGTTGGTCTGGAGCCCAGCCAGTGGGGTAGGATGTCAGATTGCAAAGGCAGGGCTGGAGCCAGATCACAAAGGTTTCAAATGCCATGCTGAGCTGTTGGGACTTCACCTGTGGCCAGTGAGGGCTCCAAAGTCTCAGGGTCCCATTTCCCGAATGCTGTTTTTAGGCTGTTCTAAGCTCCTTGCTTTGCTCACCACTTCCCCAGCCAGCACTGACTGTCTGCAAGTGCTCCAGGCTCCTACAGATCCTTGCCCTGACTTCTTTAAGAACAGAGTCGGAACACCAGTGCCTTAACTGGGAAAGTCGGGGAAGATGCTGGACTATCTGGGCACAGTTCTGTTTCCTCAAGGTTCCATTCCAAGGAGGAGCCAGGCTCATCTGCAGGCAGGGAGCAGAGGCTGAGCTCTCCAAAGGCGTTTTCTCCATCAGTCACCGGGTACCTGGATTTTTGAAAAATGAAAAATACCCTCTTCGTATTTCAATATACATGTACATCAGAGAAAAATTAGAACACTTACATAAGCAATTAAAAAGAAAAAATGGAAATGACCCATCATCCCACCATCTAGAGATAAACAGTATCAACAACTTGGTGCATAACCTTTCCCAATGTTTTTATGCATTTATATTTTTTCCTTACAAAATAGAACCATATTGTACATACTGTTCTGTGCTTGCTTTCTTCACTTATCAGATTATGAACAGCTTTATATGTCATGACATACTGTTTGACAGTGTCATTTAAAATGTTTGCATAATGTTCTGTCTTATGGTCAATTCTGCCATATTGGACATTGAGGTTGTTTCTCATTTCTCAATTCTATAAACAGTTCTGGATTAAATTACTCTGCAGTATAACTTTTCATATATGATTGATTATATCCTGAGGATGAATTCCAAAAATGTGGAATTGCTGGATTTGACCAGCCAGTTCATAAAAGGCCTTGAATGCCCTCCAGAAAGATTGCAGTGACAATCATTGAGGTTTGAGAGAATTCAATAAATAGCACCTCCTTTCCCTACCCTAGTGCTGATATAGCTGACATAGACAGAAGGTATGTCAGAGAGATGGAGATCAACATGTCACTATATTACTAATAAAGATTGGTTTGGAGAATGTGTCTGCTATAGATTGAATGTTTGTGTCCTTCCCAAAACTCATATATTGAATTTTTCCTAAGAAGAGGATATTATGAGGTGGGGCCTTTGGGAGGTGATTAGGTCATGAGGATGGAGTCCTCATGAATGGGATTAGTGAGTGTCCTTATAAAAGAGACCCCAATAGCTCACTTGCCCCTTCCACCATGTGAGGACACA